GAGTTCCGTCTATACATGTTTTTCATTTTGTACTGCTCCTTGGAACTCTTTTATATCTGTTCAAATGGATTCGGCCTGATTCTCACCCATTTTTGCTCAAATTATTAACATTTTTAATAGGCCTCAGCTTATCTTTTAACAGTTCCATAAGCCTGTGTTCTAGTGAAAGGCTTAGTTAGAGAACACTAGCATTTGATCGTGGGATTTTTTTAAAGATTTATTTCTTAGAGAGAGAGAGAGAGAGAGTGGACCCCCGACGTGTGCCCACGAGTGGGGGGAGGGGCAGGGGGAAAGAATCTTCAAGAAGACAATCCCTTGAGCATCCAGTTGAGGGCCTGGATCCCACCACCCAGAGATCACAACCCTAAATCACGACCCTAGATCACGACCCCAGATGCCCACCTGAGCCAAAACCAACCCACTGCGCCCGGCAGGTGCCCCTAGGCGTAGCATATTTTAGCAGACTGATGAGATCCTATGTATCAAGCACTGACCGTGTACCTGTCACTGCAGAGGGGAGGAGTCAGCCTTGAAAGAAGCAACTGGAAGGAGGGCTATTTCCCTTGACACAGATTCATTTCCTCCCTCCAGCTGAAAGTCGCCCTGCAGCTGCATTCCAAGAGAAGTACCTTGCTGTATTTTAAGTGTTTCCTAAGAAGCCCTTTGGATTTGCTCATGAGCTCTTAAACTGGCCTCGCGGAGTGGGTGGGGTGGGGGAGGAAACGATGGGAAGTAAATAGTCGAGTTATTCCCATTCCCCTCCGCTCAATAAGGATCAGCTTCTCCTCCCCAGCCTTTGGCCGCAGAAGTGCGCTTGCCCCTTGACTGGAGGTGAGGGAGACGCAGGGCTAGACCGGGTTTTACTTCTTCATTTTACTATTCGTATACCCTTCGTTTTCGGTCCCACCGAGAACCTACGACCAAACAGAGAAGCCCCTCCAGCCTGGAACAAAGGCGCTCAACGGGACACCCCGCGCGTGGCGCCGCGTCTGGGGATTGGCTGGATTACGTCCAATGGACAAGAGGAGCCGGCGTCTTCTACTTGCAAACCTTCTCAGCGGCGCTGCCCGCTGTCCAATCGGATTCCAGCGACTTGGAGCCTTCATTTGAATATGGGGCGGTAAAAAGCGCTGCCGGCCCAGCCTACGCAGGCGGAGGCCTCCACTTCGTCCCGCCGGCTTGAGTGCGTTCCCGGCCCGGCCGCCCTCTCCTCAGCCTCCGTGGTCCCCGCCCCGCCCCGGCCGCCGTCGCCCGTCGTCCCGCTTTCGCCCCTGCGCTGCCGCGGCCCCCATCCGCCTCGGTGGCCGCCCCGGCCGTCCCGCCGCCATCCCCATCCGTCCCTTACCCCGCTGCCGCCCCCATCCGCCTGGCTCGCCGCCCCTAGCCCGCACGCCAGGCCGGAGCCCTCTTGCTCGGCGCCCGCGCCCAAGAAGGGCTCCAAGAAGGCCGTCACCAAGGCGCAGAAGAAGGACGGCAAGAAGCGCAAGCGCAGCCGCAAGGAGAGCTGCTCCATCTACGTGTACGAGGTGCTCAAGCAGGTGCACCCCGACACCGGCATCTCGTCCAAGGCCATGGGCATCATGAACTCCTTCGTCAACGACATCTTCGAGCGCATCGCCAGCGAGGCCTCCCGCCTGGCGCACTACAACAAGCGCTCGACCATCACGTCCCGCGAGGTGCAGACGGCCGTGCGCCTGCTGCTGCCCGGCGAGCTGGCCAAGCACGCCGTGTCCGAGGGCACCAAGGCCGTCACCAAGTACTCCAGCTCCAAGTGAGGCGCGCCGGCCGCCCCGGAACCCAAAGGCTCTTTTCAGAGCTGCCTCTGGGCGCAGAAGGGAGCTTGCCATCCGGTCTGATTGTGAGGGGCTGTTCCATGGCGCAACTGGGGCACAAGACCCGGCCAAAGCCCAGCTCCTTCAAAGGCGCGTACCCTGCAAAAGCCTCTTGGGTCAGGCTCCAGCGAACCAGCAGCGGAAGAGGGAGGGCGCCTTGGCTTTAGGCGGGGACCCTGTGGGGTGAGGGAGGGCATCGCCTCCAGGAAGTCCTCGGACCACCCTCCCCACCAGCAACCCCCCTGTCCCTGAATGGGTGAGATCAGGTACGCTCGGCGCGACGTGAGTGAGGCCCTGGGTGTTGTGGCGCAGCCTTGGCTGGGCGCCTGTTCCCGTTGCCTCACTAGACCCAGAAGCTTCTGGCCAAAACCAGGAGTCTTGAGTTTAACTAGTTTTTTATGCGGACTACGCGTTTCTGCTGGAAAAAATGAAAATGGCAGATTGTGCCCTCCGCCCTCCTACTGTGCTAAAAATCCTCCTAGTAGGACATTGCTCATTCTTTTTTCAAAAAACGTGTATACTTTTAACAGAAACCCAGTAAACCGTGAAAGAGCATTTTTATTTTAGTTTTTTTTTTAATTCAGTTAGCCAATTTATAGGTAGTATATCATCAGTGTCAGATGTAGATTTTAATAACTTACCAGTTTCATGTAACACCCAATGGAAAGAGCCTTTTTAACCAAACGAATGGAAGGCATTTAAGAACAAAACAACGAGGTAAACCATACCCAAAGGAGGTATAATTTGCCTCCTTCATAACCAAAGCACTAGGCCTGACAGGTCAAGCTGCCCTCACCCTAAAAAACATCCCACTGTTCTAATGACTCCCAAACTACAAAGAACACCTCCAAGAGCATTCTGTCTCTGAAAGCCAGCAGGCCTCCCAGGATTTGGATTCCACCCTCGATTCCCTCAGGTGGGCCTTGCCCTGATTCTTGTCCCCTAGGGGACTCTGGCCATCTCCAGTGACTGCCACGCTCCCATCAACATTTAACCTCTTATACAGTAGATTGTTTGCTTTTGTAGATTTTATTAAAGGGATAGCCCCTGCAGCTCCATCGCTGGTTTACTCCATAGTAATTAGCAAATTTGACTTGAAATTTTTAGCTGAGATGGGGGATGGGGAGTGCTCTTAAATGCGCCTCAGACAGGAAACCTGCGAAATTCCTCCAGTGCCTTCCAGATCTGAGCGTTTATTTCATGATCTCAAACCCAGAGGATTCCACCACTGTGTTGGGCCCTCCCTCTCCAAGCCTATGCACTGTCAGTACCCCGCATTGTCCGCATTTCCTCCAACCTCCAGCTTAATGTAAATAACATTTCTCTTTCTCTGCTGTAGCCCTATTACAAACGTGGGCTCTGTACTCAATTTCCCTCCATTTCTTGATTATAAATTCTCAACACCCTGCATCTTCCTTTATAGATGCGCTGGGAGGAGAGGGCCCAACCAGGCCCATTCTCTGTCTGGGGCTGCTGCTGGCTTTCTCTGTAGCCTCCACTCTACTGTTGAGCACACAGATGCAGTCTTTTTTTTTTTTTTTTCTTTGTTTTTTTCATGATAATGAAGTGTGTGTACCAGAGCAGTGAAAAGACTGAGAAATTAATCTGCATTTTGCATTATCCAGAACAAGACATTTTCATGCCATTGTATTTGAGAATTGTTTCTTCAGCTTCTCTCTTTTATTTTTATTGCCTACTGGTAGCCCAATCACACACTGCTGGAGACAAGTTTCATTTTATTAAACCTATGTCTTAAGCTCATTAGTCAGAGAATCGTGGATCTGGGAGACTAGTTTCCTGTTACCAGAAGTGCTTGAGATAGACTCCTAGTCCACCTGAGTAGAGGGCTGAGGGCACAGACCCCACCCCCCCAGGACACCCCTGCTTCACAGTGGAGGGCTGGATTCTGTAGTGCTCATTATGAATCAGACATCTCTTAACAAGTGTTGATGTTGATGAAAAATCACTGTTTTCAAATTTTGGAATTATAACTAGGAGGGAGAGATTTGAGTAAAATAGCCATGATGAAATTTCTGTATGGGTTTGTTTGGGTGTTTCTGTTTTGTTTTGTTTGTAAATATTGTTTCAGAGCATGTAGCTAAAAAAAAAAAAAAAAAAGTAAAGGGAAAGCGAGGAGGCACACCACTGTCACTGTAACCACTGTAATTTTAACCACAATACTGTATGTGCCCGTGAATGCATAAAGGGAGCCCACAAGGTAGGGAGAACCCATCAATCTCACTGAATGACGTAGGTGTCACTAATATTCTGATTGATAATTATTTATATTTGATGCTTATATACCAAAACATGTTTTCAGCAATTACGTACTGTCCAGATGATTTTTTAAACACTTTTTGTCACCTACAAAAATTTTTAAGTTACAACTTACATATCTCTATTATTTTTTGGATAAAGAAAGGCCGTGGATAAAACACTTAAAAATATATCTTACATTTGGGTGAAATTCAGAGAAGTGCAATGGGAATGAGTTCAGGGAGAAAAAAAGATCATCTAGACTATCTCAGCGTTAACCAAGAATTTGATCACGTGTTTTATGAATTATGGTATCGAATTGCTATTTCAATAGATACCTTGAAAAGATCGTGTGTCCTCAATAAAAGACTTTGAAAAAGTATAAAAGCTCAAGAACTTTACAAGTATTCAGACATTTCTTTAAAATTTTTGGTTGTTGACTATTTTGCTTTTTAAAACGTCCTGTGTTGGGATTTGTGTCCTTGTTAACTATTAGAACTAAGGAAAAAAATATTTTAGATGCCAACGGGAAAACGTGTGAGGTTTTCAATCCGTTTAGCCTGAACCCACGCAGAAGGAATGGGTGGGTGGGCTTCAGCGCTGGGGCGGTTCCCTCCTCAGACACCCCCTACCACCCCCCACCACCCCCCAGGCCGGTACCCAACCGGCTTCCTTTGGAGAGATGATTTGCAAAAACACGATTGTTCTCTTTCATTGTGTTACATGTTCCCTGCCTGAGCTGAAGACACGTCCTTTCAATCCATCTAAGACTCAAAACGGCTCAAGGAAAGCGATTGTTGGGCATCTCTTATTTGCAAATAAGAAAAGCCAAGCGAAGCAAAAGGAAAAGCGACGTCTTTTCCCAAGTAAAGACTCTTTGTGCCAAAGCGCTTTCTGAGCCAAGATGACACTTTCCCCAAATTAAATGCCCTAAATTCAAAGGGGTAATTCTGTGTCACTGACGCTTCCCAGAAAATAAAAGTGTAGCTGAGAGGTAAAGGAGCTAATTTGTTCAGAAAAGGTGGAATTACAGAGGATTACAGACATCTTGAGCGGATGTCCCCCCATCCCCACATAGGTTACAGCTACCCGCAAGTTTCGTCTTATTACATCAGGCTCCCGCGCACAGGGACGCTTCCATTTCCCTTTCGGTTCCAAACATTCTGCCGCTGCAAGATCCAGCCACGCAAACACCCTCCCGGAACCGTTCACCGCTCCAGAATGACGACGCCTGGTCCAGGCAGGGATGACGAGGTCTGGTCCAGGGGAGGATGACGAGATCTGGTCCAGGCAGGAATGACGACATCTGGTGTGGGTAAGGAAGCAGCTCCAGGCGCTACCGCCCGGGCCAGGCAACCACAGAGTCCTCACCTCCGGGGTTCATTCATCAGGGACACTGGGGAGAGACAGTAGGCACGAGAGCCTCCTGGAGGTGCCCCGCGCCCCTCACCCACAGGCGCACGCCACGCGCAGACAGCGCAGAGCCTAGGAGTCCACGCGCGCAAGGGCCGGGATACACTCTGCAGCCACCAGAGGACGCAAAAGCTCAAGGCTCCGACTTCGACTGGTGACGCATGAATAGCCCCAAGAAAAGGGGAGGGTGGACATGGGATCCTTGAACGCCTGGCCAGGATTCCCGTCCCAGAACTCCGCACGGAATAGCTCCACATTCTTGCTCACACTCACTCACAAACGTGCGCACGCACACATCCCCAACCACCAGGAAACCGCTAGGACGCACAAAACGGAACTGGTCCACATGACAATCCTTCACCGTGTTCGAAACCCTTTTTCGATTGTGTGGGTGGCTCTGAAAAAAGCCTTTGGGTTCCGGGGCGGCCGGCGCGCCTCACTTGGAGCTGGTGTACTTGGTGACGGCCTTGGTGCCCTCGGACACGGCATGCTTGGCCAGCTCGCCGGGCAGCAGCAGGCGCACGGCCGTCTGCACCTCGCGGGACGTGATGGTGGAGCGCTTGTTGTAGTGCGCCAGGCGGGAGGCCTCGCTGGCGATGCGCTCGAAGATGTCGTTGACGAAGGAGTTCATGATGCCCATGGCCTTGGACGAGATGCCGGTGTCGGGGTGCACCTGCTTGAGCACCTTGTACACGTAGATGGAGTAGCTCTCCTTGCGGCTGCGCTTGCGCTTCTTGCCGTCCTTCTTCTGCGCCTTGGTGACGGCCTTCTTGGAGCCCTTCTTGGGCGCGGGCGCCGATTTGGACGGATCAGGCATGGCTGCAGATCTCTCCAAACAAAAAGAACGCAAGGCGGGAGCAACTCTATTTATACGTCCCGTATGCAAATGAAGGATCCAGAGTTCCTCGTTCCTGATAGGCTCAAGTGCTACGTCACGTCACCACTGGAAAAAGGCGCATGCAAATTAGGGGATGGCGGTCTCCTCTTCTGACTGGTGGCTGTCGCTATCCAATCGGACGAGGTCGGCTCGGCTACCTCTGGACCATATATAAGGGCTCACGGGGCCTAGCGGCCTCGTTGCTTCGGGCGTCTTCTTTCTGGTTTTTTCTCTCCCCGCGCCCGACTTGGAGATGTCTGGCCGAGGCAAGCAGGGCGGCAAGGCGCGCGCCAAGGCCAAGTCACGCTCGTCGCGGGCCGGCCTGCAGTTCCCGGTGGGCCGCGTGCACCGCCTGCTCCGCAAGGGCAACTACTCGGAGCGGGTCGGGGCCGGCGCGCCGGTGTACCTGGCGGCCGTGCTCGAGTACCTGACGGCCGAGATCCTGGAGCTGGCGGGCAACGCGGCGCGCGACAACAAGAAGACGCGCATCATCCCGCGCCACCTGCAGCTGGCCATCCGCAACGACGAGGAGCTCAACAAGCTGCTGGGCCGCGTCACCATCGCGCAGGGCGGCGTGCTGCCCAACATCCAGGCCGTGCTGCTGCCCAAGAAGACCGAGAGCCACCACAAGGCCAAGGGCAAGTGAGGCCGCGGAGGCGGGCCGATAACGGCCGCGCGCCCCAGGGGCCCCGTGACACCAAAGGCTCTTTTCAGAGCCACCCCAGCCTCACGAAAAGAGCCGCACTGAGCACGCTTCCGTTCCTTGTCCTAGGGCTGCGTTCTCCCGGGCGCACGGGAACCTGCCACGAGACACGGTCCGGGCTGGTGTGCCGCCGCGAGTGCGGACGAACACGTGGCCGCCCTCACCCCAAGCTACCGCTCGCCGTGAGGGTGCTTGTCCCTGTGCTACTGGGCCACGTTGGGACGCCAGGGACAGGCCGCTTGCCCACTCCGGGCCTGCAGAACCCGGTGGGCTCACTGGGTACTGGAGAAGCGTCCTTAGTGCAGAGAAGGGACCACGTAAACCTTAGGATTTACATTTTAAAATGGGAAGGTGCTTGAGCGGGACGATGTTTCGAAGTTTTTGGAAACCATCCGAGTTCCGATCTGATCGGAACATGAGGGTCTCGGAAAGGGTTCCTGTTCTAGAAGCGTTTGCAATCTTCTAAGAAACCATTTTTAAGGTGAGTGCTAACTTTATTAAGAAAATGTTACTGTAAATAGAACGTTTAAAAGAATTCAGATTGTGCAGTCTGGGTTGGTGAAACAGGAGTCGGAGTCCCTTGGGCTGATAGCTAAAGTGAGAGAATAAGATAATTTGTCCACTGAGTTTGGTCAGGAAAACTAGGTTTGCGACTTAAGTCCGTGTAAAGTGAATATTATTATCAGATCATGTAATACAGATGTGGCTGTTTCGGAAGGGGACTGTCCACGAGCTCCACGTGGTGTAATAAAGGAGTTGGACAATCCCAAGGGTCCTGGACAAGTCGTGGGGGCGGAGGGATTCACTGGTTGATTCCTAATCATTTAAGACAGTGTCTGGCACAGTCTGATCACTTGCTGCTTCTACGATCATTATCTTTATTGTTTTCATTAATTTTTTATAGCAGTAAAGACAGGGCGGTGTGACAATTCAGGATTATTATATAATTTGCACTTCCTAAAATTAGGTCTACTCAACCAGGGCTCCCTAGACACCATCTGGAGCTCAGCACACATCTGCTGGTCTTGGGAAAATAGTCTCATGCTGTGAGAGAAATTCACACCCAGGGTGTACACGCCTGACCTATCCACGTGGACCAGAACACGACTCCGCTGCAGCAGAGGAACATAGCAGCGCACGTGCCTCAGCAGGCCCCATGTCAGGGACACAAGCTGCAAGGATGTCCAAGACACTAGAGAGCCTTCTGGAGATTGAGCTGGCCATCATGTGTCCAGTGACAGTCTTCAGCTCCAGCAGAAATGTGTGTTTAAGCATTGATATTGATGTAGGTCATTGTATGTCATCAAACTCCTCCGTGGCATTTAAGAAATGCTGAATTTTCAGGGGCAGGGGGCTGAGGTCTGCCGAGTCTCTCTGGGGAGCTCCCGATTTTTTATTCCAGAAGTGGGACACGAAGAGGGAGGCTGTGCAGTGGTGGGGGGCGGACACTGTTCTTAGAGGCAGCCCTTCGTCTGTCATCTCCAAGGCTGAGCTGTCCCCTGTAGAGACCAGGAAGCCACCAGAGCTGTTCGGGGGTCACTGATTTAAAATTGAACACAAGGGTGCAGTTTCTCAGGTGTCCTGGCTGCCTATGGCCAGCAGCCTCACATTGGAAAGCAGGGGAACAGAACAGCACCGTCCTCGCGGAAAGTTCAACTGCACAGCTCCAGTCTAGTGTGATCGATCGTCTGTCAGGCCTTACCTGGCTCAGATATGTGATAAAATGCTCAGAGCTGCCCACCTGTGCAACAGGAAGCCCCTCGGACCCTCGCTTCCATAAGAGAGCAGCACATGGCCCTGCAGTCCCACGCCCAGGTACCCACAATGACTTAGTGACGTGTATGTTCCCAAAGCCGGAAACAGCCCAAACGTCCCCACAGACAAATACGTAAGTGAACTGTGGAACGCCATTCAACCACAGTGTGGCACTGGCCTGCGCTACCATGAGAATGAGCGTCGAAAACACGTCTACCAGGGAAGCCAGACAAAAGGGCCACATGGGGTGTGATCCCATGTCTAAAAAATAGCCAGAATGGATGGGGCCATACAGGTGGGGAGGAGATCCATGCTTGCCAGGGGCTGGGGAAGGAGGGGAGTTGGGGCAGACCGCTAGCCTCTACGAGCCTGGAGATGGGAGGCCTGTTCCCGGCTCACTATGGCAAGTCCCATGTACCCGATCCCCCCGCTTGGGATTACCTCTGCCATGCTCCCCACGTCCCTGTGGGGTGAGTAGTTTATTGAGAAAGGGGAGCCCGGGAGGTACAAAGTCCCACAGGAAGAATGCAGTAACATTCACAACCAGGGCCAGGAAAGTGCTCCCAGCTTCTGGAATTCTCTGCTCCCTTGGGCCAGGTTCCATCACTCAACCTGCCCCTCTCCTGGGCCTGGATGGGTCTGTCCCAGCCCCTGCCCCACATCGGGTAGCTCCTCCCTGCTCTGTCCACTTCCAATGTGGTCAACAAACTCCCAAGGGGGGCGGGGGTGGGGGCTTATTCAGTGAAATGTCTGCCTTTGGCGCAGATCATGATCCCCGGGTCCTGGGAAGCAGTCCCACATTGGGGTCCCTGCTGGGGGGGCCGCTGCTTCTCCCTCTCCCAGATTCTGCCTCTCCCCCCCCGAACGTGATCTCTCTCTCTCTCAAGTAGATGAATAAAATCTTTAAAAAATGAAAATTTTTTTTAAAAATGAAAAAATAAAAATTTTCTAAAATTTAAAAAAGACTCTCCCAAGTGAACAAGCGTAAAGGACCCCCTCAATTTACATATTCACTTGGACCATGAACTAGAGTGTTAGGGGACACGCCCTGAGGAGGACGGGTAGCCCAGCTAGAGAGCTGTCAGGTCTGGGCAGAGCCCAGCTGCTCCACCCCCACGCTGCTCTCCTGCGCATGGAGGTCCCAGGCCTGGTCACCAGAACTGTTTCCATGCCCTGTTCACCAAGCGTCACCGAGACTTTGCTCTTCTCTCCGTGCCCACCCAGCAAAACCTTTAGAATTGCATCCGCCGCTCTGCCCAATCCCCTCCGTGCGGGTGGCTGAGTCCCAGGCAGCTCTCTGGGGAGACCACATCCTGGCACCCCCCACCTCCCCTGAGACCATGGGGCGCGTGACCACCCCTCTTGCCAGCACTGCCCTCAGGCCTCCAAGACGCCTTTCCTTACCCACTGCCCTGTCCGCAGCTCACCCCAGGCCCGGACAGCCCTACTTGGATCCTGACTTGCCAGTTTTCTCCTGCAGCATGATGGAACAGCCCCGAGTGTCTCAGCCGTGGAGGGTCTGGGGGTTGGAGGGAGGCGGAGGGGTGTTAATCTGGTAGGTCAGTAGTTGATGTGAAGTCGCCCAGGAAAGCTCTGCTCCAGAGAGCCCCCATCGCAACCCTGGGGGCCTTGTGTCTTCCTGTATCTAGGCTCTCTCCAAGGATAGTTCAACTTCCTCATGCTGTCCCCCGAGGACAGAGTCCCCTGAGGCCCAGCCTGCACAATGGGACTCATGGCCCATGCTGGGGTTCACAAGTCTTGAGGCTTGCTGGGTACCCAGTTTGAAGAAACCTCCACCGTCCATGAGAGCCATGCTGTCATCCACCACGGGTCCTGGGGCTCAACGAGGGGTGTCCTCTCTCCTCCTGCTCTCATTCCAGCCAGGGCAGCGGTGTGGCCCAAATGCCATCCCTGGCAGCTGCCTTCCCGGAGATGCAGGCTCCCAACCTGCTACCAGGGAGTGCTCCCCTCTCCTGGCGGCCAGCCTGCACCCTCCACCGGAGGCACACCCCCATGGCGGCACCTCCTCATGGTCCCCCCAGCCAGGTTCGCCCACGTGGAAACCATCAGCACATGGGGAATGTCGGGAGGCAGGTCCTGTCCGTGGAGAGTCCTGGAGCCCACCTGTCGTGCCCTCACCACCAAAATACATGTGACCCCATTCTAATGTCCAGAACTTGTTAGTGTGACCTTATTTGGGGACAGGGTCTCTGCAGGTGTCATGAAAAGATCTCGAGATGAGAAGGTCATCCTGGGCCAGGCGGTAGGTACAAACACGCACTCCACGGTGGCTCCTGGGCAGGCCAGGCCTCCGTTTGGCCATTCATTCCGCTCTCAGCGCTCCCGTTTCCTCAGCCTGGCTGCAGCTTCCCAGGGGAGCACCCGCTCTATGATGTTAGAATGTTCCATTCTGCTGGGAAAGACAAAGAAATAAGAGTGGGCAGCTGGGGTGCAGGAGGGGGATGGATGAATTTCCTAAGATGGGAGCGTTGATAAAGGTGAGGGGAGTGAGTGGGGCTTAAAGATACAAGAGAAGCAAGACACAAGGTAGTCCGATGTGAGGCATCTGGTCGCTAAGTATTCGGGAGTGTAAAGTATACAGAAGGCACCAAATATGATAAGTAAGTATGCAGCAGGCGCTAAGCAATCACGCTGGAGACACTCAGTTTCCATTAGGTCTTCGTCAGCCACCTCTGGGACTCTCCACAGGTGAGCCTGTCCAGGGTGGCAGGGACACCACACCTGTGTGCATGGGCCCAGCACCCGGTGGTGGCCCCAGCATCAATGGGCAGGCTGAGGCAGTGGGGAGCGATGGGACATGGGACGGGCGTGCCTGGGATCGGAAGGGACATGGTCAGGTGTGCCTGGGGTCAGGAGGGACACAGGGACATGGGACAGGCATGCCTGGGGTCGGAAGGGACACAGGGACACGGGACAGGCGTGCCTGGGGTTGGGAGGGGCAGCCTTCCTCCCCCCTGACACCATCTCTTGCTCTTGCTTCTGCTGGCAGTTTTCAATGGATTTAAAAATCCACCTGTTTGAGTGCTCTGATGGGCCTGCAAGCCCTTCCGTGCCAATACCTGCAGTGAACTGGAAAGCACATTAGCCTCCAGCTAGCCCCAGGCAGGTGAGCCCGACTACCCCTCACCGTGGACTCTCAGAGCTCCCCCATGGCAGGACAAAGCCTGGGTGCCCTGATTCCCAAGGACACCTGTGCACGTGGAGAGGAGCGGCGTGAGGAGCGCCCCTACAGGTGTGCCATTCACTGGGTGCACATCTGCGTGGGATGCGCGGCC